GGCCGGCTTCAAAAGTCTCCAGCTTCAAGCGTACAAATCACTGCACTGGAGATGCTTGACATGTCTCCATGTCCATCCCATCGAGCAGGCGTGCAAGATTGTCAACGCCTGAGCATAAATCTCAACCCTCGTTGACCTGTGCTCCTGTTTGTAAATAAGCGGCAACAACGCAGATACCGGGTGTTTGGTAATGGATGCGACAAGGAGTATCCTGGGACTGCCAAAGTCAGGGGCGCTCATAATGTTTTTGTTTTTGTTTTCATAAGGAAACGAGAACAGCATTTTGATTGGGAGAAATCACGATAGAACACGAGTTGCGTATGTATTTCGGATGGTTCAAGGTATCAGTCTCTCTCGGGCATGTCTGCCTGGATGTGGCTGATTCGACTCTCGGCTCTTGCTCTAGAGGCACCAACATGTCCAGAGTATAATGCATGAAATCGAATGCTAAAGGGCGGCAGGATGATAATAAGTTGGAGAGTAGTATTTTCCCGGAAGGGTCGACCAACAGATTCCGCATGTCGATCCGATTTGATAATAAAACGGCTCTCTTCTTTGGACTGGGCGGAGTTAAGTGGAGTGTCAGCATTGCCTCGTGTCAGTGATGTGATGATTTTCTCCGTGCTTATCTGTACATCGGATCGCATCAGATCAGATCAGATCAGATCAGATCAGACCAGGCCCAGACCGGAACAGATCGGAACAGACCGGACGCGTTGTGGGCAGGAGTCGCAGCACGTCTTGCCAGACGTGCCAGACGTGGCAAGACGGCATGGATGGGTTCTTGACTCCTGGTGCAGGAATGGCGACTTCCAACACCTCTGGTATGACAGACTTTTTAAGGGCTCGGACCGGCTGTCTGGCTGTCTGTCTGTCGGTTTGCCTGCCTGCTGGATATTTTGACTGGCGGGTGTTTTGGACTCGTTCTGCAGGAATGCGCAGCATCCAGCGGGGCAGTGCCGCATCGTCCGGGTTTCGAGCCGTTCTCAATCCCGGACTGTGGTGTGTTGCATTTTCCCATTCGCGCACATGCAGCTGCGGCTTATTACTCTGCATATTCTTGTGTCGCCGAATCCCGTCATGATTCGCCGGGCCTGCGGCAGACCTCATGCAGCTGCAGCATTGGCAGTCGTCGGCAGCGTTGAACAATGTTGGACGCACTACAAACGTCGAGCCGCAGCCGGACTGGCACCGAAACCGAAACGGGACAACCGAAATCCGGGTTTTCCTTTATTGTTTCTTTCTTTTCTTGCTTTCTGTTCTTTCGCTTTTGGCCGTCTCTCCCTGGCGGTGCGTAGTGCGTGGGCGAAACGTGTGTGTGCTCGCGTGTTTCGGCTGTGCGCGCCACAGCAGGCCGGGGCTTCATGCTGCAAAACTCAAAATATATCATCTCACGTGAGGCTCGATTCCAAGCGGCTGCTCCATGAGTGCCACGAATTGCCTTGATGCACTTAAGTCGTTGTCTTGCATCATGGCTCACCATCGGCTCCAAAAATCTCCCGAGTCTCCATTCTCAAAAGTGGGTCCGCTACTACCCACTTGCTGATTGGTCAGATGGTATGCTGGTCCCAGGCTTCCGTATACCTGGAAACTTTAAAATACCTGGTACCTACCTAAGTACTTCTTATCTCGTGCACAGGCTGTACAAGCCAGTTCTACTAGTGCAGTTACCGCAATCCCAGGTATTCCCAAACAGTTTACTGTATAATTTTAGTGTAAAAAGTTCCGGAATTACTTGCGGTCCACTATAGGTCTACAAGCGAGTGACTCGGGTGGCCAAATCAAATCCCAAAAATACAAGGCCCAGGTTCATGCAATATGCAATAAGCAATCAACCTTGGAAGGAGCAATTGAGCGACGTAACTGAACGCCGACCAACCTACACAGTCAAAGAACCTTCTTCCGCTTCGTCTGAAGCCTCTTTTTTTTGTTATTGCTTTTATTCTTTTTATTTCTTCTTCTTCGTCGTCGTCTTCTTTTTCTTCTTTGATTTTCTTCTTCTTCTTATGCAATTACAACGCCCTCTCTTCCTTGCCAACTCGTGGGTCCATTTTTCACCGTCGTGGTCGTCACCGTTCCGCTGTTGAGGCTTCCGCTGCTTGTCTGATTCGACCATCCTCACCAACCCACCAGTCTTGCAAATTTGCGCTGCCTGTCGTGTATCCGAGTTCAAGATGACGTGGTCCAAGAGCACTCGGATCAAGGTCATGATTGCCATCGACACGGCCTTTTTCCTGCTCGAACTCATCTGCGGCTTCCTGGCACATTCTCTGGCCTTGACTGCTGACGCATTTCACATGGTACGACAAACCCGATTTCTTTCCGCCTTTTTTTCCCTGTGCTTTTTTGTTGTGTATGTGTGTATGCGTGCGCGCGCGCCCGCGCGTGTGTGTGTCCGGCGGCCTGATCTCGTGCAGCTTACGTGTGACTTTTTGCTGACTTTTTGCTGACTTTTCGCCACAGCTCAACGACATCATCTCACTCGTCATCGGCTTGTGGGCGGTAGTCGCGGCTCAGAAAGCGACGACTGATGAGTTTACATTCGGAGTGCGTCTGTATTTGATGGATGTCTTGGGCAACGACCTTCTTGGCTAACATCGATTCTCTCGCTCGTCTAGTGGGTTCGTGCTGAAATTCTCGGTGCCTTCTTTAACGCCGTCTTCCTGATCGCACTTTGCGTGTCCATCATTCTCGAAGCCTTGACCCGTTTTGTCGAACCCCCCGAGATCAACCAGCCTCAGCTCATCCTCATTGTCGGATGTGCAGGCTTGGCGTCTAATCTGCTTGGCTTTGTTGTTCTTGGTGGTCATGGACATTCCCATGGCGACGAGGAAGACGGGCATGGGCATAGCCACGATCATCATGACCACGGACACGGACACGACCACGACCAAACCAGGAAAGCTGGCGCCTTGCGTAGCAGCGTGGCTGATGAGGACGGCGCCGTCGTTGACATTCTTCCAGAAGTCATTGTTAGACGCGCAACCGAGAACTCCGACTCCAATCATCGCATTCGATTTGGGGATGACGCAACTGGCCAGAACGACGCTAGCAATCGAGTTCCGCCTGTCGGACCATACCGGGGACGCGCACCACATCGTTCCAGTAAGAATGGACACTCCCGCTTCCATAGCATCGACGATTTGAGCATTCACCCTGCAAGTTTTCGTCAAGACATCATTAATGCTAGCTTGGCCGCATCATACGGTCCTGGCTTGAATGCCGAGAGTGATACGAGTGAAGATGCGCCTACCGGCGAGGCGGAGACAAGTGTTAACGAAGAGTCTCCTCTACTTGTTCATGGCACGAAAGGCGGCAATGGAACGATTGACAGCGACTCCCACTTTTCTCATTCTTCTAATCGTCGGCCGCGCCGAGATTCGAGTGTACACGACGGCCACAACCATAACTTGCCCCGAAAGGCCGGAGTCAAGGCGAGTGGCCATAATCATGCTGACATGGGCATGAATGCCATGATGCTTCACGTCCTTGGCGATGCTTTGGGCAACGTCGGCGTCATCATCACCGCACTCGTCATATGGCTCACTGACTGGCCGGGCAAGTTGTACTGTGATCCCGCCGTGTCACTTCTCATTACGGCCATTATCCTCAAGACGTCTATTCCCCTGACTCAAGCCACGGCACGAGTTCTTCTACAAGCGACCCCTGAGAACATAAGCGTTCAGGAAATTCGGCAAGACGTTGAGCGTCTTCCAGGAGTAGTCAGCTGCCATCATATCCATGTTTGGCAATTATCCGATACCAAGGTCGTCGCCAGCATGCACCTGCAAGTTGCTTTTCCAATAAACGAGCACAGTGGTGAGAAGTATATGCAGCTGGCCAAGAGGGCCCGAAAATGTCTCCACGCCTACGGCATTCACAGCGCCACCATTCAGCCTGAATTTTGTCTTGACCAGCAACACCGAAACGCTGGAGATGCTACAGCACTGCGACTGGATGGTGGACTGGATGGTTCTAGTGATGCGGCCTGTCTATTGGAATGCATCGACGATTGTCAAGAGCAAAGATGTTGTCCTGGTGCCGAAACACCCTCACAGCCACCCTCAACTCGTCGAGGTAGCGATTCGACCGAAGGGGGTGCTCGAAATTAATCCAAGCGTCCTTGTTGAATAATACTGGATTCAAAATTAGCGGACAAAAAGAATTAGACATTGAATGTCATGCATTTTTTCTTTCTCTCGCTTCGTTGATATTCATTGAGAAGCACATATGATGAAGAATGCGAAACAAATTTCAAGAAATCTACAAGATTTATCATAAACTATTTGGAAGACCAGGCTCTTCTTCTTTTGAGTCGTTGTTTCCTTGCCAGACCTCGATACAATATTTCGCCACACAGCTGCCAGCGTCGTTTTGAAGGGCGCAAACATTGGCATATCCACATTCTTTAATCGCCGGGACACTTGTTTTTTACTATCATTATATCTTTTGATAACGGCGGGCTTTTCCTTTTTCTTCCTGAATTTTTTTATTCAGAGTTCCAGTTGTAATATCAAATATTTGGCGTTGGGGAGGAAGCAAGTCAATCTGGAAATGCATAGTTTCCGCAACGGTAGTGGAGGGTTTTTTTTTCCTCCTGAAAAGAGACAGGGCGCGAAGAGATAGTCTGTTTTTCGGGCAAGGCAAAGAATACAAAATGCATTGCTAGATTAGCTGGGACAGCGTTGATTGGGAACAATGCGGCCGCGGTATGATAGCATTGGACTTTGAGACCGGTGATCGTCCCTGGACGACTGTTTTGACAAAATTGTTGCCAAGGGGATCAAAATGCCAGATTCTATCCAGCACATGGGGGCTGTAGCTTGAAGAGAAGCATGTCCACTCACTACATGCACGTCTATGCCGCTATAATCATAATTTATGCATACTTCTTAGGTAGGTACCTGATAGGAAAGCAATTGGTAATTGGGATCTAGGCTTCGTTTTGATTTTTATTGATATTGAAAAATAACAAACCCTGCTCTCAACAAGCACAATCGGTCTCCGTGGCTTAGTTGGTTAAAGCGTCGGTCTCATATGATGATATGATTCAACCACAGGTTGGAGTCATCCGAAGGTCGTGAGTTCGACTCTCACCGGGGACAGTTTTTTTTTTTTCTTTGTCTTTCTGCTACCCGCTGATTTGGGTGCGCTGTTCGTTGCATGTGCATGTGCATGATTCATGCATGATTTGCTTTGCTGGCAAGCCATGAATTCTTTTTGACGGGCCAATATCTCCTTTTTGATCATCCTGAAGCTGACGCTCGCCCCGATTTGCAAATACGCTTGGGGAACGAAGAGGGCATGACTTGGAACCTCAGTCTTGCAATTTTCGGTCCTGGCCTCGAACGACGTGAACATTCTATTCTTGCTTGTCAAGCGGGAATGTCCTGAGCGCAGACGAACACCGAGTCATAGCTGGGTAGGTCGTGCCGTCCATGATGACGGATCACGACCAGCCACCAAGGAGATGGCGCGCCTGTGAGTTGTGCGGATGCGCATCTGGTGTCCACGGACGAAGGGCCTTTGGTTTCCGTGGAACCCGCGAAGCCGGTTCGTCCGTGTGCACTTTTTCGAATCTTGCATACCGGCTGGTCACTCGGCGGGATCTGGTCTTGCGAGGCCCGGCGGGAGGGAAGAGTATATACTACGAGACCAACCCGTATCCCGATGATGAGGACGCTTTCCCGGGGCTTCGTACATGTCGGACGGTCAGAAGAGCCGACCCACGAGAATACTGGAGGGGGAAAACAAAAAGGACAATTGCAGGAGGAGGCGCCTTTGCCCTCGGTCCGGGCAGAAAAATGTCTGCGTGGGCAATAGTCAATGTGCTTATCATAGGCATGCCACGATGCCCGGCCAAGGGGGGGAATAGAGCTGCTGTTCTTCCAAGCTGCGAGACCGCAGGAGTCACGCGGACAGAACTGGCGCCGCTCGGGATGTGAGCGTACAGAGGGCACGTCGGACGAAATCGTTCCAAATGCCATTTCAATTCCCGATATCCCACGCATAAAAAAAAGCACCCTGTCAAGCCCTCCAGGCATATGGGTAGGTAGATGAGACGGTCTGAATACATTATAGCCCACACGCGGTGCCACCGTCCAAAACCCACAGTGGCCAAGAAGAATCTTTCCATAAACGCCCAGTGTGTAAATGTCTCGTACGCGAGAAGGCCTTGCTCCTTTTTCTTCTCTCTTCCCGTCCTCCCTCCCCTTTTGCAAAAAAAAAAAAAAAAAAAAAAAAAACAGAAAAGAAAAGAAAAGGCCAGATAATAGTAGAGCACGTTTCTCCACGAAAAGTTGCATCACATCGTCTCGGAATTTCTTTCGAAGTTGTGTTGTTCGTCTTGTTTTTTTTTGTTCTTTTTTTTTCGTTCCCCCTCTTTGTTGCCTCGTGCCATGGAATGATGGCCCGACTTCCCATTCGTCTAGAAACCACGTCCGCGGCCTCGCGAAAACCCGCCAGAACCGCCGCGACCTCCTCCGCGGCCACCGCCAAATCCTCCACGGCCACCACCACCGCGGCCACCACCTCTTGAGAACCCGCCGCCGCCGCGACCGCCGCCGAATCCGCCTCGGCCTCCGCGACCACCGCCGAATCCGCCACGGCCGCCGGCACCACGTGGGGCACCGCGGCCACCACGAGCACCTCCAGCTCGCTTGGGCTTCTTCTCACCGGGGACCTTGGGCTTGGGTAGGAATTTCTCCAGCGGCAGGAGCTTGTCGCCGCCAATGAAGACCTTGTCGCCGGACTTGAAGCTCGTGGCGACGATGCCCTCCTGGGGCTTGATGGTAAAGTAGACTTCGTTGATCGGGCCTAGCACTTCGTCGACCTTGCCGATGGGTGTCTTGTTCTCGAGGAAGATGGGCGCGTTGAAGTAGGGAATCTTGACGTTGGAGGAGCGGCAGAACATTTCGCCTTCGACGGCGTGCTCGAAGATGCCCAGTTCCTGAACTTCGGCAGGTGGCCCAGCAGGGGCAAAGCTACCACCTCGACCTCCTTATCGAAACCAAAACAAGGTAAGAGTCAGCTCTAAGTATCGGCTTTTGCCTTTTCGCGCCTTTTCGTTGTCGTTTTTTTTTTCGTTCTTCGTTCTTTATTTCCCTCCTTTTTGTACATGTTGATCCGACCCTGACAAGTCGAGTATGTTTGTTTCCCAAGCAAGGACATCCAGTTTGCGTAGAGTGCCCCTCGCGCAAAACGCGAACAAAAAAAAGCCAAATTCACTGACCTCGGAAACCGCCACCTCCTCGACCACCAAAGCCGCCGCCGCGGCCGCCTCTGAATGACATTATGCGCGCGTGTCTTGTCTAGGGCCGTCAATGGGTGCTGAAGCTGGGGTCGTTGCGGTGCGAATCGATATATGTGAATTATTCTTTTTCGCCAACCTTTTTTTTTTTTGGCTTCGACCCGTGTCCGATGGTGCAGTGAGAAAAGACGAAGGATTTTGTGTTTTTCCGCAGAGCATGAATTAGAAAAGCTAATTGGTTAGCTAAAGCTCTTTTGGGGAGGATTAAGTGGGTTCTCTATCAATAGGCAGTGCCTGCAGTCATGAATTTGTGTCCCACGGATTCTTCCCTACCCTGCAGTGCGGGGAGTCAAGTCGGGAGACCGGGTTTCAGTGCCTAAAGCAGATACCTATATATCTGTGTCATTGGTTTGAAAGTCTTGTCCTTATGAAATTTGCGAATACATTCTATGCCTGGCCCTGACGAGCTGCGCTTGTGAGGAACGTGGGGATTTTGAGAAGTAAACATCGGCAGCGCGCTTTGTCGCCGTTTCAGGCACAGGCTGGGGTGAGATGTTGGAATACGATATCCCATCCTGACGAGCATTAGGTACCTACAACAGCACGGGAAAATGAATGCTTGTAAGCAGGTAGGTACCCCAAAAATGTCTCCATGCTGCGACCGATTCGGCCTTGTCGAATTCTATTTCCTGCCCCGGGTTATCTCCGAAGGCCATTCGCGGCTTGCTACCCCGCAGATGGCAGCGGGGCAGTCGGAATCCAGAACTCGGTGACAGGCTGACCAGTGACAGCTGTTTGCCAGTGTCACCCAGCCGGTGAAATGTGCCTGCCACCTGGTATCCAAGTCATCTTCGAATCATCAAGGCACAAATGCCGCTGCTTGATCACCCCTCCGTCATCTCACTGCGGTTCAAGCGCAAAGTCGCCCAAGCCCTTGGCTCCGATTTTTAGAAGCTTCCGAGACGCAATCCTGCCCCAAGAACTGCATTACCGTGCCCTCCACCCATACCGAAGCTCGCCGATACCCCGGCCTTAGCCACCAAATGGCCGTCCGACAAGCCGGAAAGGCAGGCTCTTGGTATGTCGCCTCGCCGGGCGAGCTAGCAGTTGAGCTGGAGGATTACCTATCCGAAGTCCCCGACACCATCAATGGTTCCTCACTGCCCATCAAGGGGGCTAGAGTCGTGATAGCACCGTGAGTATTCTACAAATGCTGTGCGTGGTTTTTATGCCTAAAAAAATATTTCCCCGATGGTCAAAAAAAGCCTCTTCCCCCCCAAATGAAAACAAAAGAACAAGAAAGAAAAAGAAAAAGAAAAAGAAACACAAAAAACTCATATCCTACAGTCACGCAGGATATGCCTACTCAGGCCCCTGCGCCGCCTGGGCATACAAGTGCCTGGATCTCACCACAGCAAAGCGAGTATTCGTGCTTGGTCCATCCCACACGTATTTTCTTCGCGGGTGTGCCGTGAGTACATATGAAAAGTACGCCACACCGTTTGGCGATTTCACAGTGGACCGCGACGTGATTCAACGAGTCAAGGAAGCAGGGCAGATGGACGACATACCCAGATCGAGAGACTCGGCAGAGCACTCCCTGGAGATGCATCTTCCGTATCTGTACAAGCGTTGCGAAGAGACCTTTGGCTCGCCGGACAAATTTCCATCCATAGTCCCGATCCTGATTGGAGATAACGACCGAGACGAGGAGAAATATGTGGGCAGGCTGTTGGCGCCCTACCTGAAGGACGAGGAGAACGCCTTTGTCATAAGCTCCGACTTTTGTCACTGGGGAGCACATTTTCAGTACATGGTATATTCGCCGGAGAATGACGCTACGAAGTTGGTGAACTTGCGAAGATCCGATGGTCGACCGGCCGGTGCTCCAATCCACGAAACCATCAGACTATTGGATAAGACAGCAATGGAGGCTGTCGAGAGCGGACGACACGATGCCTTTGTCGACAACCTAAAGCAGACGAAGAATACGGTCTGCGGTCGACATCCCATCGGTGTAGCCATGGCTGCGCTGGAGGAAATTCGGAAGGACGTACATGATGAGAACAAGGCTCGGTTCAAGATCACACAGTACCAACGAAGCAATCTTGTGGAAATGCCTAGCGATTTCAGTGTCAGCTATGTATCGGCTTATGCTATTCTGTAAAAAAAAACACCAAAAAAAAACTGGACAAGATTGTTTCTCTGCCCTGTACGGATACCATGAGCCGGAGCAGAGGATTCGATGTTAACACCAATATCCAATATTCGGTTGGCATGAATTTTACCACACACGGCGGTGACTTGATCGTGGAGCTTGTTGCAGCAGCCGAGAGCCCTCTGGAAGCCTTGGGTATCCGCCCAAATAGACGGGGTAGTTATCTCGGCAGCATAGGCTGTAGATGGGCAGACACCTAGGTAGAGAGTAGATAGTAACTGGCTGGTTCTACTGCCTACTGCCTAGTGCGTAGTGCCTAGTGCCTAGAAGAGGAAGGTGAGAGACCTCATGTGCGAACGGACTGACGACGAGCAGCCCTCTGACGCTCTGCAAGACGCATAGCCAGACAAAATGGGAGTCCCAACCAGCGCCGAAATAACAATGCAACGACAGAAAAATCTGGACGTCAAATCTCGCGCATGAAACATGGGCTGGTTAGCGCAGATTTGTTCTGCTGATCGTTGGCACCCCCCTCGCGCCGACCTTGCCCCCTCTCGAGCAGCCACAGCCACAGCCACAGCCACAGCCACAGCCAAAACCAAAACCAAAGCCAAAGCCCAAGCTCAAGCCGGGGGCTCTGCCGCAGCAAGAACCAGTCAAGTCCATTCTTGGAAGGCTGTTGTTGGTGCGGGTACCTG